TAAACATTTTTTTGCAGTAGTTCGTAGGTTTCGTATTTTAGGTAATGCAGGATAACTGCCTTGCGATTCTGTAACTCACTTTTCGAAAAGTAAGTTACAGAATCGCAAGGCTGGTTCGACGCATAATCGTCTATGAGTCACACTTTGCGGTTTGGAGAATGTGGAGAGAACAAGAATACATCATGTATTATAAATATAAATTTGTTTTAAATTCATTAAGCTTTTGTCTCGATTTATATGTATAGTAAGATAATAATAATACATTCTTTTCACGTATGTACAAAAATTTCCTAAATGGAATATTTTGACTTTAAAAAGAGTAATTTCGTACACTGTATGTTTTGTAAGACGGAATGAACTTTAATATACTAATTAAAATATAGAAATGCAATGTAAGAGATCTACCCTACTAACGTATTCTGTTCTTATATAACTAAGACCTTAGTTATATGTATAATAAATTCGTTTATCGCATTTCAGCTCATTGCGGTACAACACCATTAGGCAAAGACGATTATTACTGTAATGAAGATTTGGTCAAGCAGTTGGTGTTTGACGCGAAGTTATCCAGTCCATACTTCAGACATTGGGACGCCACGGCGGAGGAAAGGGAATTAGCTAAGAAATACAACGTCAGTGTACGTTTTATAGCGACATCTAGTGGACTAACACGGTGGCATTACATATTCGATGATGACAAGAATGAGATCGTCAATGAAAATGGTTTTAGGAAGAAAAAATTTAAGGGCGAGTTAGTATTAAGTAACTTTTTTTTTTTAAAGAAAAACAATAAACAAGCAATATTATTTATGTTAAAAGTGACCTCCGACTGAATATTGATCCTCTCAGAACGATATTGAACTATGAAATTTGTTAAAATAACAAAACATTTCCGACGTTATATATGTTTTTCTTATCAACTCATGTAATTAAATACCTTTTAATGCGATTTACTCTTCCATATATTTCAAAGAAAATACAATTTTTGAATGCATATTCGTCTCTAAACACTTCAAAGACTAGACTTACATCACGATCATATTCAAAGCGACTTACCTAATGGAGACATATTTTTAGAGTATTCGGCGACAAATACCACAACGCAATAGAAGAGACCTGGTACAAAGCTGCAGTACTGCAGCACATGATAAGCAAAGAATCTTTAGTGATCGCCACACCGTTGCCAATCTTAGATACAACTATTTCTACTCGACCCTCAGTACAAAATAGCGAAGGTGATATAACAATAACAGCCAGTTACGCAATTTTCTACAAGGACGGTGATTCCGAAACACCTGCGGGAGTCGTCGGGTTCCAATACTTGCATTCCAACTTCCTTGAAGTATTTCAGGATATTACTAATAGGGATGGAGATGTAAGTACATTTAATACGAGCACATAATTTACACGTGAAATATTCTCCCAAACTTTGGAAGAAAGTAAGAAAATTTGTGAAGAATACATTCATTTGATATAATAATAATTAATAATATATATGTTGAAAGTTTATAAATAAGCCTCTTGGTAAAGGCTTTGCGTGGTGGGGCGATGTTAATAAAATACCTTTTAACTAAAAACAGGTTATGAAGGGGTTGGGATGGGAAATATGAGGACTAACAAGTACTAAACCGTTGATGAAACTTAGACAGTTCAGTTCAGACTCAGTTTCAGTTTTGAAATTTGTGGAAAACATACATTGACTTACGCAATTTATGCCCAACTGCAGCAACACTCACTGGTCTTACTGATTATCTTCATAAGCCATCTAAAAATACAGTTTTTTTTTAAACCATTAATTTTTGTCAAGCGCAGACTTTAATAGGCGTTGATATAATTTTTCAGCTTCATCTTAAATACTTACTTGGACGCACTTGGAAGCTTGTGACCATAACTATAAGCGCAGGATCGATACATATTCAACTTTTTCAGGAGCTGACGTGTAACAAGGATGGGAAACATGACTGCTACTTGATCGATAGTTCAGGATATATTGTTGTATTGGTTGAAGAGAATGACGACAATTCTGTTGGTGACTTCTTCGGTCGCGTCCAACCTTTTGTACTTCAATCGTTCATACATAAGAAAATTTTTGAATATGTCGAAGTGTTCAACTATCAAGCACTCTGTCCCATATCAATGATTAAAGTTCCAAATTGTGCTTGGTCGATACGGGGATCGGTAAGTTTTTTATAAGATAATGATAAAATTATATACCTAGTAATTAATTAAAATTGTTATATTAAGCTAAGCTGTATATAATAATAATTCAAATTAAATAAATAGTATTTAAAATAACACAACCTTTTATGCCTGGGCCTGAGATTTCTGGATCTGTTTTCTGATCATTTATTTTTCTTAACAAACAAGTAGGTCATCAGTCGTGTCTGACACACGTCGTCGAATTCTTTGGCTCAAAGGCATGCCGGGTTTCTCACAATGTTTTCCTTTATCGTACGTTGAATGCGCACAGAGCCTCAATTGGTGACGCACTCTATTGGTGCACAGCTGGTGTCCAACCTACAGTCTAAGGGATGAGAATTGCACGCTGAAACCACTATATAGTATACACTATACATACTAAAATAAATATTAAGTCTCTGTGGCAGTGTACCTTTACTGCTGGCAGCATAAATAAATTTAATACCCGTGACTTCGATTTTCTATTCCTTTAATTACATGAAGGGAGTAAATCCATGCTAACGCAGCATGGGTTTGTACCCTGTAGCTTCTATAGCTATAGCCATTGTGGTCCCGGCTTTTGTTGAGTTTCCGTACCACTCACCAGCGATACGGGTAATGCGAGATTTAATTTTATCAGTATGGGTATTGCTATTCAGAGTACTGGCCTTTATGCTTGTTATTGAAACCTATTTCAAAAACAAATGTAAAATTTCAGATATTTGATGTTGCGTCAAACTTATTCAAATGGATGTTAACTGAGGCCTTCTTAATATTATTTGATTTTGCAAATTGGAAAAATCATTTGTACGCAGCTACAATTGAACCTTATGGTAATTATTGTTTTATAAACCACTAGACATTTTTTAATATCTTGGAAATAAATATAGCATATTATTCAGGAATAATGTAGCAGTTTAATGGTGAAGAATTTTTCAAATTGATTCTTTTCGAGCTTTTGAGTATATTCCTTACAAAGACAAAAAAATACATACCTTCCCCTTGGTACATATTTTTAGAGTTCTGACACAGTAACGATTTGTTAAAAAATATCACCAAAACACGCTTTTGAAGAAACACACCAGCAGGCGTTTCATTACCACATTCTTAAAATTATTTATATTACCTGTCTGTGAACCTGTGTGGACTTACTAAAAACACTGTTTGACTGATAATTATTTCTGCGACCAATTTGTCGTGAAAATTAATTGTAAATCAAGAACTAATGTAGTGTGTGGTCCGATAACCAGGCCAAATAAAATAATTACTTTTAACGAAATTTTACCTTACATTCGTACGTTAACCACTAATAAAGGACGCGTACTCTATATTGTAATAATATTAAAATTACTTCAGTGAGCGACACAATGGAGGCAGCAACCCCCTACCCCGAAATAAATAATGAAAACGAAACCATAGAAGCCAACGAAGAACCAGAAGGCAAACGTTTCTTCTCTTGCGACCACAGCATTAAGCTGTACATTCTGAACCAGTCATACTTCCTCAATTCAATGATACTATCACCCGTCGTTTATGAAGAAAGTGTTGGAGACTGTCATCCGCCATATTGGGCGACTTTAGTCCCGAAGACAAATTTAATGCTGGTGGTCGTTGAACGCGGTTCGTGGAAGTTTAATAATTGCACTATACCACCAAACACAATTCCTGTGCCGACAATAGATTCTACTACGAGTAGGGAGCCTTGTCATAAACTGGATTTGGGAGCGCTTCCGAGGCGAAGACTAGAGGGTTGCTTCACTTATCACGATAAGGTAAATTTGAAACAACAAAACGAGAAAAATAAAAAATTTCAACAGAGGATAGGCTGTTGCTAAAAGCAGTTTCTCCAGATCACCCAGACGTAATTTAAACAATAAAACAAAGAATATACAGAACTTAACAGTACATTTATTTAAAACCAACAAAAAAAATCTAGATACAATATTACAATATTATAAGTACATTATGTAATGTTCGGGCATACACAGGTACAAAGCGAAGCCGCCTACATAACCATTAACACTTATCTTTACCTAAGTAAATCGATGTGATTTCGGGTTTGTAGACACAGCTTATCACATATTTTCCATTTAAAGTAATCATAAACATATAATCGCCACTTAAATACTTCATTAACGGATATAACACGAACATTATTGCCATAACTCTGCGCTTTGTGTAAATGCCGTACTAAATTCGCGTTTATTCGGTTGTAGCGTAGGTTTTTTTGTAAAAAACAATTAAAATTATTTTCCTTTTTTTTGCAGGAAAGAAATATAACAGCATGCGGAGAGGGATGTATTGCGAAAGTAAACGTTGTTTTCTTAATAGTAACTGCACTGATGTCTTTAATCAACTTAAAACTCTTCACGTGATACTGAACATCGAATATGGTACTAAATATATTTTGTACCTTTCTTATTTTCACAATAAAATGTATTTATTCAAAGCGTCTTTAAGTTTGAAAACCTATACTACAATTGACCTTGACCCATTACAGCTCAATCGATATTTATTGGGTGTGCGGTTCTTACAACCTACCTTGACTGGTAGTTTGTAAGAACTGTGCAGCGAAATAAAAATGCACAACAAAGAAGGTAAGCCCAGTCGAACCGCGCAAGTCATTGGAGGCGCATGCGTCGTCTCCGAGTTTGCGCATAGCATAGCAGGGCTATCAGTTATCGAGCACACCCTAGAACAGTCCAAGTAATTTACCAAAATTAAATAAAATAAGCAACTAGTGTCCAATTACGTGAAACAGCAATATGAACAATTTTTAAAGAAAAGAGTGGTTTAATCAGTGTGTGGTTCAGGGATCTCTGATGTGCTATCGTGCTGGTGTAATATTCCTACTTTTATCTTTTGAGTCTACGTATTTTACGGCCAGAGCTCAGCATGTACCCAATAGCCGTATTTCGTTCAACACGTAAGTTGTAATGCATGTAAAAAGATTGCAGAATTCTAAATTTTAAGATTATTTTTGCTATGGCGTAGTCTCTTACGTAAAAATTTGCGTGCAATTTTTGAAATCTTTCCTAATATACTTGCAGAGTACAGGGTTGGGGAGTTAAACTCGGCACTGAGTTATATCATTTTGGAGAGTTTATTACTAGAAAGAAGGAGGTTGAGGATGTAAGTATACGACATAGGTAAATTATAGTTATAGCGAGAATTATTTCCCTTGGAATGCAATGATATTATAACTACCTTACAATTTTATCCTAGTATATAGTGTACAATTATAGTACTAATACCTATAATTTATTAATAGCATAATCAGTAATAATTTCAACAACATTTGAGAAATGGTAAAGCAAACGATTTTTAACTCTGAGTTTTGTGCTCTGTGCACAATTTATCTTTCTATGAGCGCAATCAAAACTATGCTGGTTGAAACGATCGTGAGGAAAAGGCATGTCATACTCAACTATCGGCATTAAAGCCTTGCTTATAAAGAAAAAATATTAATAAAACTGATGAAGAAATTCATACATAAAATGAATAATAAATCAGTGGCACTACAACCTTTTTAGGTCTGGGCCTCAGATTTCTGTACCTATCTGTTTCAAGATCTGTCAATCTAATAGGCCAGTAGGAGATCAGCCTCCTATGTCTGACACACGCCGTCAACTTTTTGGAGGCTGAAGCCGGTTTCCTCACAATTTTTTCCTTCGCCGTTTAGGCGAATGTTAAATTCGCACATAGAAAGAAAGTCTATTGATGCACAGCCGGTAATCAAATCTACGACCTCAGGGACGCGAGCCGCACGCTGAATCAACTTTTTTTTTTTTGTGGGCGTACGTACGCATACCCTCCCGCGGCATGGTTGACCTGGTAGGGAAGGGTTATGTGGGACTCGCTGTTGTGCATACCCACTAAAACCCCACGGCGCCACCAGCAATCGCCCGGGGCAAGACACGGTAACAGCGTAGCCTTGTCCGCAACGCTGAATCAACTAGGCCAACACTGCTCGAACTTCATACATACATGCGCAAATTTTATTTCAGAGTTGGAAGTCGGCGCAAATAGAATCAAGAGATGGCGAAAAGTTAGTACAGAGTGTGGCGGACGATATTCGGGCAATGATGGAGTTGAAAATTAGTGCCGTGAAGAGGATCGTCGAGGCAGCAGAGAATATGGCATTTGATAAACAAGACGATCCCGTTCCGGAGGACTTTCAGTTCTTTAACAGTAAAGAAATGGAAGATCTCCTCGATGATAGTATTACTACTACCCCAGAGCCTGAATTTCATAATGAAAACAACATCGATCGTCCGCCATCAAAGAATGTTCGTCTGTACCAAAATCCACACTTTTCAAATATACCCGTTAATATTAATTTTACTAGTGTTCACGTTCCAACAAATGTATATGCTTGGGGTATGTACCTAAGCATTTATAAATTATGTAAGTGTTTTAGTTAATACATTTGTTCTTATTGTATTGCTGTTTTAGCACCCGAAGTCATAAAAGGAATTCACTGGTCTGAAGGACTGGATACACATTTCATTAATAACTATCAGAGTGACCCAACTCTTTCATGGCAATATTTTGGTAGCTCAACCGGGTTTATGAGACATTATCCTGGTATGTACTATGTTTCTAAATTGTATAAGTTTTTATAAAATCCTATTCAATATAACTTTTTTATTATTCCCGTAGCAATGAAGTGGCGGGCAGACCCTGTTGATATATATGATTGTCGAACAAGAGCTTGGTATATGGAGGCTGCTGCTAGCCCAAAAGATGTTATCGTGTTGGTTGACCGAAGTGGTTCTATGACAGGACAGAGGAGAGATATAGCGAAACATGTAGTAACTAACATTTTGGATACTTTAGGAAACAACGATTTCGTGAATGTTATGACCTTTGCTGACACTGTGGAAGAAATTGTGCCATGTTTTGAAGATTCTTTGGTGCAGGTAAACACTGGAAATATGAGAATGTGCTTGACTTTCAAAGTTTGATTAACATTAAAACAAAATTTCAATTTACAGGCAACTTTAGGAAACATTCGAGAGTTTAAACTTGCGTTAGAGAATTTTGAAACAATGGAAATAGCTAACTTTTCAGCTGCACTAACTAGAGCATTTGATCTTTTAGAAATATATAGAAACAATAGTGGCGGCGCTAATTGCAATCAAGTAGGTGTACTAAACAGGCTTATCCCATGATGTCTGTATTAAATGTACGTGGAAACAAATATTAATGAATTTCTCTGTTATAGGCAATTATGCTTGTAACGGATGGTGTACCATATAATTACAAGGAGATTTTTGAAAAATACAATTGGAAGTATGACACACCAGTGCGAGTGTTCACGTACCTGATAGGTCGCGAGGTAAAGGTAGTACCACTCCAGGTATTACTGTGTTGTAGCCATTGTGCGTCCTGCATAATGCCTTCCTGTCTTGTCTTCTACCAGTACTCCTTGAATGTGGTACTCTCTATGTGTTCTATTTGTCTCTGACTTAACGTGACTGGTTATTCGAATACGAATTTTAAATTAAATCATGGTCTTCAACAGATTATTTACATTTATTTAAAAGCTGAAACTATTTGCTCGCATAACTAGTCATATGAAAACTGCATGAATCAGAATTCGACCAAAGCCCAACTTTCATTCTTTATGTTGCTTAGCTAGTATGATGTTCGCTGGTAATTGTGTGTCAAGCTTGTCTGTAGTTAGTTTATTATTTAATTAAGTTCATATAAAAGTCACAATTATTTTTATTGTTAGATAAAAAATAAAGTAAATTGATATTTTCTATGATTAAACTACTTTGGGTAGCCTATTCATTTTTTAGTTTTTAGGCAAGCCTTCATTAAACAAAAACATTATTTACATTATTTTATTCATTACAATGTCCATGCAACCTAGAGAAAAATATGATTTAATCGATAGAACACAGTGCATTCTCACTTAACATTTTTGCCATTTGACATTGATAATGGAGCAACAAAACAACGATCTAACTTAATAGCAATTACTAGGTGGCAGATGTAAGAGAAGTGAAATGGATGGCTTGCGCTAACCGAGGATACTACGTCCATTTGAGTACTCTAGCAGAGGTTCGAGAAAGAGTTCTGGAACATGTTAACGTGTTGGCTCGACCACTGGTTTTGCAGCGCGAAAAACATCCGGTTGTATGGACACCAGTATATGCAAATGTTACCGTAAGTTCATGAAGAAGTACCTACCAAAATATGTTGTCTCTTTAGGGAATTGTAAGTAGAAGTAGTACCTACTTCATTTTTGTTTCCTTGCGTAAAACTGATATGAAGAGATTTTAATAAATGTAGCATACAAAAAAGAAGTTTTAATTTGGATTGTAACAAATAAACTGTTGCAGGATCCAAAAGTTGCAGATTATTTATGGGAGCAACGGGAGCGAGCAGAACAGAAAGAACGCTTCATGAGTCAGCGACGAGATAAAGCTCTATTTAACTCTGAGAAGGAGCAGAATAGACGATGGAAAATAACTCAGGTAACGATTACATCAAAGTTTGTTTCTTAAATGTCAGTGTTGTTACTACGATATTAATTTCAGATGAAACAAGGTCAATACAGTGAGATAGGAAACTCACAATATCAGCTCATGACGTCAGTATCCATGCCAATATACGATCTCCGCCATAACGAGGTAAGAATTTGTTTTTAATATTCATGTACATACTAATAAATTTTATCTTTGACTGAGACGTCCAGCGAAAACAGAACGAGACTAAAACTAAAGTTCAAATTCAAGACAGATTTTAACAGTTTTTATATCTTTCTGTTTTCGGTATACTTATTAAAATTAAAAAATATTGTCCAAATTCAAAATTTCACTATGCATGTTGAAACCTTATTACTGTCAATGTTCACAGATTGGCTTTTACGTTTTCTCCTAATTGGGCGGAAGCTGTTTTTATAATCGCTGATATCGTTATCATTTTGTATATTATCTAATATTACCTTTTGATAGTAATCCTTTGTTTGGTGGTTTCCCCTCAGAACATCACAGAGAATGTACTGATAAATGAAGCTTACTGGGTATCAGTTACAAAAGAGGTACTACACTTAGAAAATTTTGATGATTTTAATGTAAAGTTTTGCAAGATACATGAGAGTTTTACGATTTAGATTTTGGATTTCAGTAACGGTAAAGTCTTATTTGGCCCCGTTAGCGATGCATCTGTCCTCGATAGATGACGGCCGCTGCAGTCGCACCCGACTGCACTATGTTATACCCTCTTGGCTTACTGTAGCGTAGTTTCTACTAGCTGTAGGCGTAGACCATTAGGGTGCTATGAATCAGTTTTCAATACTATTTACCAAGCGAATTGTTTCAGTGCAAGAATTATGATCTGTATTATGCACACTATCTAAGATAAAGTAATTTTGCCTGACTTTAGCGATGTCTTCGTAGAGACATTTTAACTGACTTGTATTATGAGAAGTAAATGTAAATATTTTTACTAACAATTTCGTGCAGCCCGACTTTTGCGACGTATGGGGCTTTTATTAAGTAATGTTACTTTAAAGAATGACAGAATTTTTCATATGTTAACAATTTTTAGTGTATATATAAGTTTACTCATTGATAGATGAGATATTTTTTGATTTTTAGAAGTGTTTGTTATAATGCATTTATCTACATGTTATTATATTTTATTGCATTCGTACGTCCACAACCAATCGCAGTCTGTAGAGGAGAACGGCCAAAAGGAGGTAGGCCCTCGCTCTCTTAGACCTAGTGTGTGAGGGATGAGTGAGAGGACTGAGTGACTGGACACTGTGCTGATTTAAATAAAATTTTAATAACCTTTATTTTTTTTAAACCCACATTCACAGGAGCCACAAATCAACATATGCTCCACGAAAGCAAATATTTTTTGGAATATTTTAAATCTCACTTAACACTAACAGCAACTTACTTGGACTACTTATGTGAAGGTTACACATAAATAGAAAGAATAGTTTAGATAAAAATGTAGTTAAATTCACGGAAATGTGGATTTTCATGTAGTCTTGCTAGAAATTTTTACATATATATTCTCCAAATATAATCTTAGATCGAAGTTCATGTAGGTATTAAGTATTTAGTTTTTATAAATCATGTTATAAACTAACGGGGCGTAGATATTAGCCAGATCCCATTTGCTAGTGTTAAATAATTATAATAATTTTACTTAGAAGTATGTACTATAAAATGGTAAATTAAATTGAGTGTTAAAGTATTGTAGTCTTCTATACCTAATTAAGTGCTTGATTACGAATTTATTAAATTGCTTTTAAATTATGGATCCTGTATTTTAGTCATAAATTAAATTCCAGATGCGAATTGCTAGATTATTGGGAGTGGCAGGAACAGATGTACCACTATCTGAGATTCAAGCTCTTATGGCACCCTATAAGGTACGTTATATGCAGCGTCCATGCGTCGAGTTGTCTCTCTCCTTAAAATATGGCGAGGAGGCCGATGACTCATGCGTCATGCTCGTGAGCGGGTGCTACTTGTTGTGGCTGGTTGGGCTTGAATTCGTGTATGCGGTGATGTTAGTAATTTCGACTATGTATTTGCGTGTTATTCCCATGATAAGTGCGTGCTCCTATTTTACCATGCCTCCTGCTTATAGAGGACAAATCTTTGTTTTTAGTTTATTTTATTATTATTATTAGTTAACTATTATTACATGTGGAACATGGTGTAATGGTTGCAGCTCCTTACAAACATTGTGTAACACAAAAAACTTGGCGATTAAAAAGAGTGGCGGAGAGTTTATTGCCAGTTCTTCTCTTACGTTCTACGCCCTTGATTTGAGACCTGGCAGTAAATGTAAAATTAGAAGCACTTAATATGTATTTCTTTTTTGACGTTCATTCAAGTGTACATTGTGTTACCTATATGAATAAATGATTTTGATTTGATATAATAATCAGTTGAACAAGTGTTAATTATACCAAAAACTTTGAAAATCCATTTTTAAAGGGGTAGATCAAGGGATCGATTGTACGAACACTCACTGTCGAACCAGAGAATACATTTTAATCAATTTCTTGTTCTATGATTTCAGATCGGGGTTAATGGTTATGCTTTTATGGTGACAAATAACGGATATATTTTGATTCATCCCGATTTGAGGCCAGTGGTAAGTGGCGTATTTTTTATTTATTTTCTCTATCTATTGAATTTATTACATTACTATGTTACAGTTTCAACAAATCCTAAAACCGAGTTATAACAGCGTGGATATGATCGAAGTGGAGTTGTTTGATGACGACAGAAGTCCACGAAATTTCAGTAAAGAATTGACTGCGGTGAGTAAAGCATCATTCAATAGTTAAATAAAATGTTAAGTCCTGGTTTGTATATAAAAAATTTAATTACAGTTGCGTCAAGATGTAATCGATCAGAAAACCGGCAACAAGATAATGAATGTCAAGTACCATATGGATGACATGGTGAGATTTTTAATTAATTTACCTATATTCGCACGCTTCACATTGTTCGATAGTGAGGCTTCTTTTAGTACAGTAAATAATTCTAAAATGTTTGCAAATATATTTCAGAAAAGAGTATCACGTGGCAAGAAGCACTACTTCTGGACTGGTATAAGCGATTCGCCCTTCACCTTGGTGGTAACGATACCAGAGAACTACGGACGCCATAGAATAACACCACCGCCTACAGACGACATACATCGCCTATCGCTCACATCAAAGAATATTTCGGCAAGACAATATCTGTCTGACAAGTGGAGTGTGCATCCCGATTGGTAAGATTGATCGTTATAAAGAAGTACAGTAACACTGGTGTAATTCTTGCAGTGGCGTAATAATAGGGTGGCAGGACTGGCAAATCACCACGGGCCCCCGACCCAAGAGGGCCCCTGCCCAAGAGATATTATGTTCTATGGATGAATGTGAAGTCTTCAATACGAATTGGGCTAGCGTGGGGCCTACAGACATGTCAAGTGCCCATTAGTGGGACATACTATACAACGTGTATTTGAGTATGAACTCTGAAAATCTCATTGTTTATTAAAATTAAACTGTGTATAACGTGACGATTTTTACTGATAGGGCCCCATAAAAAAAAATTGTGTGACTAACTAATGAATACAATATATAAAGAATACACATTTTGAACACAATACATATTTTGAAGCAAATTTTTATGTTATGTCTTTGTGCTAGGCGCGTCCATCCAAATAAATCACATACATTGCAGATACATAATATCTAGACACTAAATAGAGTAACTTCCTTAATTTATAACGTACGATTGTAGCAAATTTTTTGTCCTTATCACGCCAATGATAATTTCGTAATAAATAAATGTGACATAACCAACTTTACTTGGCTTATTGCAAATTTGTAATTAGATCTAAAATCTAGGTTATACTGTCGCCACTACGAGCGCACATTTGCTACTCCCGAGGACGAATTATTATACTTTTTGGAGCGCGTTGCAAAGCCTGGTTGGCGCTGGCCAGCGAAACCTCGCCCGCCCGAACATCACAAGAATAAACAGGGACACGGGCATAACGGTAACATGAAAGTTGTTATGTTTTACATAGAATCCACTAATGTACAGCAAAAATAAAGGAAACAGGAGAAGAGTTGGAAAATCTATCTGCTTAACACGGGCGAAAAGGCATAATTATATCATGACTATTACGCCTACCTTTAAATTTGTGGTCGAGAGTCATTTAACACGAAGGTCCTTCCATGAGTGAATAATTGTGTCGATTTAGAGAAAAGATAACACTAATAACTAATACTTAAGTAATATAATCTGTGAACCAGACGTAGAGCACTTTAATAATAAGATTAATTACATCGTAATTTAAAAAAATCGTTTAATTACATTTTACTAATCTTTCAATCTAACTGGTAAATATTTGTTGGAATGGTAAGTGATAAAAGAATTTTTTGGCAAAGTTTTAAAATTAACGACAATTTTACATTAAAGGTTCTGTAGATAGCGAAAGGAAACCTGCGCAAAGGATTGAATACTATTGTAAGTTATTTTTAAATACTATTATGAGGTTTTTTGTTAACTTTTCAAACATTTTATAAATTAAATTCTGCGAATAATACAAACTTACTATTCTGTCTAGGTGACCATGGACTTATGCAAGCGTTGGTATACGATGCCAGAAACACGGCATGGTTCAACAAAAGCATATCCGAATCTGCCTCGGATGAAAAGGCGTAAGTATTTTTGTCTACTTTAACACCCTTTACTTTAATCAAACACCGAATAGGAAAATAATTAACAAGCATTACAGTTACCTTAGTCGCTCAATTATGTATAAGTTTTATAAATTATGCACATATAACTTACTTTTGCACATACATTCTGTTATTCCGCCTGGATAGCCCGTTGACCAAAGTGATTGGATTGTTACCGAGGTAATGTATCACGAATTTGCACGTTTCGTTAAGCTTTTTGTGAAATCTATCCTATCAATCTATCTTCGGAATCCCTAAATGTATACACTATACTACACGGACAATTGAAAAGCACTTTAGCATTGCTTAAAATTGTTCATCAATCAAGACAAAAAATTGGAAGTGATAATAATAATAGCACATTTCGTATTACAAAGTACAATCAATCACAAATTAAACACTTGTTAAGTATTCTTTACATTTAATTTTAAATGTAGATGCAATATTATAGCAGCCTGGATGTAAGTTTATGTTTGATGTTGTCTACAAAGCTTTCAAGGATATCTGTAAGTTCAGAAAAAAACATCGGTGTTTCCAAAGCAAAAATATGCATCGTTTATTACTGGGGCTATCTTCTCACTTTACTGAAGTCTTCTTGATAATATTTCATCTTTCAATCGTAAAGGTAACAAAAATAAAGTAAAGGAATCCACAATGTTTCGACTTTGACGTCTCTGCGATTACTAAACCGTTTTTATTACCCTCAATTTACGTACGTACCTTTAATGGTGAAATAGTATTTTCCACGTTATATATTCTGTTTGGAATAATAATACTATAACAAATATAATTAACTTTATAATTGTTTTTGTCACAGGGCGGAGTTCATACAACGTTTTGGGTATATAGTGGCATTTTTGGCTACGCACAGCGGTCTAACAAGGTGGCAAATGCACCCGCCTAAGGAACACGATGATAAGTGAGTAGATAGTAAATATGTATATAAAAGAATTACCTTTTTAGAACTCTGCAAACTACACACAATCCTTTTTAGGTATGTTCCAAAACACAATAGACGAGAGTCTAACCTATACTACCGGTCGTCCATTAACTCCCACTAAATTAATAATAATAAAATAATATTGACTTGCCACAAAAACATATTATACATCCATATGATGCATATCTTACATGTTAGGGGTTGCAACGGGTAGTTAAACTGGGAAAATGTGTCTTAAAAACTTAATCTTAAGTATGGTGTAACAAATTTTTAAAGTTAAAGACTGATTTTGTGAACAATGAAAAACGGCTAGTTCTTTGCGGTACTTTCGTTTCGTTCTTGGTGTCAATATTTCTGGCATTTAAAGGTGGTACAATTGCTACCCTCAGTTTATAAATTACTGAAAATAAAATCCACAGTTGAATTAGTACTTGTAACATCTTACTTAATACACAGCAACTATTTACTCCTAGAACTAGAACCGAATTTTGATCTTGGCTTTAAAAATTATTTACAGAGTGGAGTTTGGTAAAGTATGGCCTCGCGCTATTGATGAGGTATGGTATCGTCGTGCAGTGGAACAACACTACGTGGATCCCCTTAGCTACGTATATAGTGTGGAAATGAATACAGAGAAATTCCCATTGAACGTCAGCTCGGCACTGGTAACGGCTGCCCATGCGGTCTTCCATAGCGACGGACACCGTAAGGCTCCAGCCGCAGTGGTAGGATTCCAGTTCAAACACGAGAGACTGACGGAGTGGTTCGATAATATCACATCGTCGGTGCGTAACCTACTTGTGAAATTTTTATAGGAACATTTTTATACTAAAAAATAATCAGTATTTTACACCACCAACTCTTAACTATTTGTCTCATCGCATATCTTCGCATCGTCCAGGCTCGACCTGGAGAAACAAATGCAGATGACTGTAGACCATAACGGCCTACAGGACATGTTAATAAAGCACAGACCGTGCCTGGAACGGTTTTGCGAAAAAATTGTTAAATATATAAAAGGCGCCAAACAAATGTGAAAGAGCCGGTCTCGCGAGGAATTGCGCCCCGGCTCGCCCATGAATATTGTAAATAAAAATATTACCAATGAAGCCGGGGCGTATTTCGCGAGCCGCGTAACACACCATTTGTGAAGTAGATTATTGTATTTAATGTAATGTATCATGTTTTATTGTAAAAATTTTAGAGAAAGAAAAAAATCCCTGGGCACAATGGCATAACTAATAAAAAAACTATTTGGCTCTTATTAATATAAATATGTATTGTGTTAAAACAGATGTTTTGTTTTAAATTTAATATAACATTCTGGTTTTATCATTATGATTCTAAGCTTAAATAATTATTACTTTCAGTGTGAGCATAATAAGGAGTGCGTGACATGCGCTTCGGAGGAATGGGATTGTTACTTGGTAGATAATAACGGCTGGATCGTGGTCAGCAAAGACAGTACCCAAACTGGACAGTTCTTTGGAAAGGTACAGAAAATTGTAGCCACATAAGTTTTAGTAGTTTGTTTCATCATTACAGATAAACTATACCATGCTAACGAGAAAAATTTACTAGCAAGTCATTTGTTTCATGCAATCTCCAAAATTATTGATAAATTCGTATAAGTGCCTTAATAATGTATCATATGAGTTATTTACTAGATTCGACCAGATATAATGCTTAAATTAGTAGAAGACGAGGTGTATCGAACAGTGCACGTGATTGACTACCAAGCGGTGTGCTTTAGAGAGAAAAAAGTCACGAACCCAGCATCAACAATAAGAACGGTTAGTAATAATGCTCATTAAATCCGATCGGTTTGTACACATTATATTTGATAGCGGCATACATTTGAATACTAAAATGTATCCTAACAAACTCACACATCAACTATTGTTAAATAAATTTTAAAATCGATCAGTATCTTTAATTGGTTACAGTATTTTTTATTGATTATATTTCAGCCAATGGAAAATCTTCGGTTAATAATGTCTTGGTTTGTGACCACCTCGGTATGGCTTTATAACTCGGTGTCCTTAACGTTCGCACAGTCCAGCTACTTCGATGACGGTAAGATATCGCTTCAATGTATGTAGCATCCTTTACTGAAACTTGGTTCCAAAACATATAACATTGCTTAGGTCGTTTCACCGCTGACCTACCGTTGACGTAAGATAATCACGCTGTGAAAAATATCAAGATAAAGAGAAGATTGTCTATAACTATATTATTTTCAATTGTTTATCAAGTTTATTAAGTTTAAATAATATATATAACACTAGACCCGTTAGCATATGTGCGGAAAGACAAGCGTCGTGGTATTTGAGATCGCAGCAGTACTAATTCACCTTTTTTGTTATGTTGACTGTAACACTGACTAATTGAAGCACAATTTTTGTGCATAAATGAAATAAATAAGAATTATAACTTATATAATCTGACGTCGGTTCTCTGTCCGCATATGCTCTAAAATATTGTTATTATTTACACAGCGGTAGAACAGTGCAGTGTTAAATGCGCGTTGTCAGCATGATCTGTTACTGCAACGAGCACCAACAATTATAAATGTTTATTTAGGAATACATTAGACTAGATAACTAAATTCGGTGTTGTGCCAACAAAGTTCTCGTTGTTCTGAGACACAATGCTTAAGAACTCCACAATCTTCTTTAATGTTTGCTTATGAGGATATTACTTGTATTTATAATACAAAAACACCGCACAAAAACACAAATATGTAAACTTTTCACGGAGCACGAATGCTCGATGGCAATTTGTCGAATTATTGATGTAGATCGAAATTGTGTATGGAGTCTACGATCGGTTTTAGCTAAGTGATGTAGTAACGACTCCATCTTATTTTCAGAGTATGTTACATCCACTGGTGAGTTATAGTAAGAGCACCGTAGACTGTGTCTTCTCAGGGCACTTATTGAAATTTTTACTTGATATGAATTTCACTTAAATTTTTATAAGTAGTTAATTTCGGAATGTGCATGACGTAGAAAAATATCGAGGAGCTGAACCTTTTTTTGTATATTGTTTCATGTTTCTTGTCAGGCGCCTACCATTGCATATAAATCCGAAATCAAATAAGTTCTCTCCTTACAATATTTTTTAGAAAGCTTCAGCTAAGTTTAATTTGGTAAAACTTGGCCTGGTTTCTGCATGTTGCCATTAGGTTGTTATTTCAGACCTTTTTGAGCAAATTCTTCAATATTTGACCTCTCATCATAAACAGTTATATTTTTATACTGTACATATTTTGGCATCATTTTGAAATATTTCTCTCATTCGTTATAAAACAACATTTAAACCCATCATCAATGATAATGTGTTAGTCCAATGCTAATAATATATTTATTTCCCTAGTTGCGTACCAAAATTACGAAAATGACGAAGACACGGATGACCCATCCATGTCAAAACCGCCCACTCGAATCCATGAGAGAGATTTTGAAAAGATTGTTCTTATAAACCGAACACGCCCAACACCTTGTGATCGAGAGATGTTTTTGTACCAAATAGACTACAAGAACTTGGAGGCGAAGTTGAATAAGCCCTTGACAGAGTGTTCGAGACCATTTTACGCACAGCTCGTGAATTATACAAATATGCTGCTGGTGGTCGTTGACGCGATGTGTGCGAAGAAAGATGTCTCGATATTATCAATAGACCCAGCAGAAGTTCAGTACAATGAATCATTACCTTGTCTGAAACATAAGCATCCTTTGTATCGGAAGCAGCCGTCATCGTGCATACGAAATCATACGGAGGTAACCATCAAAACTAAAAAGGCCTTATTATAAATCGTGGATTAAATTCATTCATTCATTTTGTATGATGATTTGCTATTTTTTTACGCCGGCTTTTTATCTCGGCCTACACCCTCTATCTTCTTTGCCGATAAGTAGGGATGTCTCCGATTCAAATTTAATGACGTGGTAATGATACCTGTATCTTATATTCCATAATAAACATATTTTATTATTTTTTAAAGTTAAAAGTACAGTATTTACATGGTCACGATCTTATTTCCGCCTGAAATTTATTAAAATGAACAATGATATAATGATGAAGTGTTATCATGTCATTACTACGCGCTAATTGTATTGAACAAATCATTGTATCAACCTGTGTGACATCCTGTGATCCCTCATCGGGGCACATATCTTCCTCTGTTCTATAGAAACATTTTTAGAAACAAATAGGTGATTTATGCCTACGACAAGAGATACTTCTAGTGCTGCACATTGGAGCTTCGAACGCAAGCTCAGGGTTGAGAGTAGAGTTAGTTTTTTTTTTTTTTGGCTCTGGCACGATTTGTGCATTAGCCAGCGTCAAGCACAGGATTTTTTATAATTCGTGCTTGTCTTTAGAAATTCGACCGTGTCCTCCATGTACGGTATAAGCTTTCGCCCGGTACCGCACAACCCTCCCAAAGGCCGAGAACAAATTTAAATTAAATTAAAACTTGCCCTCGAACCGGGAATCGAACCCGGTAGCCCTCACCTAGCTGCCACTTAATAAGACCGCTAGGCTATGAGGCCCCTAGAGTTACAGTTTTGAATGTATGTTTAAACTATCTTTTTTCAGGAGAGCAATATCGACATGTGCGGACGCGGAAGTCTCCCAACAAAAAATGTTTTATGGGTACCTTTTACAATACTTCATATTTTATGGATCAAAATAATATTTTAAATTTGATGTTTTTCCACAGCCTTCTATATAAGAATCAGAATCAAATTATATTTCCAATAAAAAATCGTAGACATGTCTGTAAACATATCAGTGTTTATAAATTTCTAGAAAATTCTAGTCTCAAGGTGCCACATTTATTGGCATATTCATATCAATGTATAGTTTAATTAGATTTAAGTGTTATTCAACCAAAGTAATTTATCTCAATGTTAATAGATGGTGTTTAGTTATTGTCCTTTCTCCGTCCTGAGTTTATGATTGGGAAATATTTAAAAGCTGCCTAGTGTATTAAACTATACTGTGAAATTATGAGTTAATTTAAGTTATTTTTAAATAAGAAAAGTCTATACAAATAAATATTTATTGTAACAAAAGTTGTTTTATTTAAAAGGTATACCTAACATTGAATGGTTATTGTCTATTAACCTAATTAAACTATAATCTTTCATCCTACTTATAAATAATAAATAAATAATTTTATGAAATTTTACTAACTAATAACTCAGACACAAAAAATGTTTTAAACAATTTTAATAATATTTAGTACATACATACGGATTTAGACAAAGTATTTGAGGCACAGTTTTGGAAAAATTATTTTAAAATATTTTAATGGCATAGAAACAAAAAATTAAATCTCTGAAATAAAACAAAAAGGTCTAAATCATAAAGACAATATAGTAATTAACTTTCAATTTGATTTTTACTAATAAATTCATTCACCTCAGCTGCTAGGATTTCGTATCTTTGTTGCCGCAGAAGTGACTCCTGCAGTTTTTCCAGTTGTTCTCCACCCTCCATAAAAATTTTGAGACTTGGTATATTTACACCACCCTCCCTGTGCTCTGTTACTCGATCTTGAGGATAGTTGTAAGTTCTAATTTTCTCATTGCGATTGCTTGAGCCAACCTGAAATGACACACCAACCATAATTCAAATAAACTAATAGATTTATTCATATATACATATGTTATAGGTATGTTAAAAAATTAGTTTGAATTAATGAAATCTTATATAACTAAAGTAATTGAAATAGCTTTTCTACTATTAAGTTACAAATAGCTATAATTAATCAATCAAATCTAGAAAAAAAAACTTCACATAACGTGAGCAATACACAATACATGTGTTATGTTTACTGAAGAATTCACATGTTTCTGAATATGTATGAATACATAAAATAATAGGAGTTGTACCTGCGCTTTCCTTTCACTGTTAATTTTTGAGGACTGTTCTTCAATTTGTTTCTGTAATAATAAGGCTCTTAGTTTTTCCATTGCGATTTCTTTGTTTTTAATTTGTGACCTTCCTTCTTGACATTCAACTGTAGTACCAGTAGGAGTATGGATAAGTCTGACTGCACTATCCGTTGTGTTCACATGCTGACCCCCAGCACCACTGGCTCTTTTAGTTTCAACAATGATATCTTTTGCTGGGATATCAAGCTCCATCTCAGTTGCTTGTGGTAAAACAGCAACTGATACTGTGCTAGTATGAATACGTCCACCTTTTTCTGTGACAGGAATTCTTTGTACTCTATGCACTCCTGCTTCCATCCTCATAAATTCAGGGGCCCCATACCCTTTCATTAACATTGATGCTTTACGAATACCACCTATGTCTGACTTTTCAATTGATGCTATATCAACTTCCCACTCTTTATATTCAGCATAAGACTGATACAATTCAAATAATTCTTTAGCAAATAGCATAGATTCTTGACCTCCAGCACCTGCTGTTACTTCAAGTACAATACCACCATTGGTGACGCATGGTTCCAGTAATATTGATTTTAAATCGTCATCAACTTCTGTCAGCCGAGACAGATATATCTGTGCTTCCTCTTTAATCATTTTCTTAATTTCTTCATCATTGTTATCTTTTTTAGTTAGTTCTTTTAATGATTCTATGCTGTCGTATAAGGCTACTCTCTGCTCTAAAACATGAACTATAGGTTTAATTTCGTCTAAGCGTCTCGTCTCTTCCGATGATCTACGAGATTTTATATGCAAGGTATCATATTCAATCATTAATTGTTTCAAATATGTTTGGACAGCCGTATCTGTTATTTTTAATACATTTTGAGAATAATTTGTATGAATTATAATGTTCGTTGTTCTCTGAAGTAAGCATCCAAGATAGGTTAATTTGGATCTTAACATTGTAAGCGTATTTTAATTTTTATCTTGCAAAAAACGGTTTGAATATTTAAGCATTACTTTAATATAATTTTTGTACTATTTAGCTGTTCTGCAGTACAAAGTATTAACATAAAAAGAAATAAAAGTATTGACTTTTAAAATTTATTCTAATGGTCACTACTCACTGTCAATTTCAGAATACTTCACTTCACTTCACTTTATTTATAATGGCGACATCTGTGAATACACTGATTACTGATAACACTTATGACTTAACAGTTAACATACACCACAGATTAAGTAGAGTGAAAGACTATTGATATATCAATCAAATGACAGCAGACAGTGTGCGTTTTCCAATTACAGCACTAGAGCGCATTTTGCGGCATAATGCTCAACGTTGAATGTTCCAACTACAGCAACGCTTCGCACAATTGAGCACTCTCAAAACGAATGCTCTCGCGAGCTTCTCGCAAACAATACCAACACAGTGACAGAAAATTGACCAGTATTTTTCTTTAAGTTGGCATTTATCGAAATTTTCGTTAGTAAATATTATTTATTGTTGAAAAATTTGTAAGGCTTTCGTTTCGTCGTAGATTTTGAAAATAATTAAAGTTATTTCAAACTGCTAAAAAAAAAAAATATTAGTATGGATGATAAATAGTTACTTTTTTTATATTCCACATTTAAAATATGAATACAATTTTATTTTAAAATTCGGATCTGTAAACAAATTTATTTTACAGGATTATACTTTAGAAAAAATTGCAATGGTTTTGAAAAAGTATATAATTTTTTTAGAAATCATTAAAAAATATTACTCAAAACGTAAATGATGTAAACTTCTTACATGAAACTAAATATTTTACTGTTAATTTAGCTTGTTAAAACCTTATATTCTTTAAAGGTTTTCTATTATTTCAATAAAAAAAATGTCAATGAAATAATTTGATGATTAAAATAAAAAGATAAAAGTTTTCAACCAATTATTATTGTTTACCACATTATTTATACATTAATGAGGTTGCTAACTCAATTCATACAAATTCAACATTTTTTTACAACACTGACTTAGCGCACTCTGCTGATGCATTTGAAAACTAATTCACGTTCCAATTAAGCTTCAGCATTATGCGGCATTGTGCGGCACTGAGTCGCAAAATGCTCTGTAATTGGAAAACGCACAGTGCTATTCGAGAGTTGAAAAAAATAACTATAATAGTCCTTTTTTTTATAGTATGGCAACAGCTTCAACTTTATGCCAGTTTCAAGTAAAACTATAGTCCTTTTCATGAAAGGAGTCCCGCAGACGCGGCGCTGCAATCGCATGACGTAATGTTGCCATTTATGAGTAAAAAATTACCTATTTCATTTACATTTAGCAGATGTAATTTATCAAATAATATTATTTTCTGCATACTTCGATGAAACAATATTTATATTATGTAAAAAGTATATTTTTATTTACTTATATTAGCGGTGTTCTTCCTACTTACATGGAAAAGATGAGAAAATAGGGTAAAGAAGAGTAATACAATTTTTTATTCAGAGTTTTATTGCATAATTGTTGGGTTACAATTGTTTTCGAAGTACACGCCGCTGTTATACCTTCGGTTGTAATTCTTGCTACAGTTTTCTCTGACACACCTGCAAATAAATTATGAACAATTAAAAATAATAATAACTTTAAGTTTATACTGCTTATGTAATATGTAATATATGTTTTAATTCTAGTTACCTAGTTTCATCATGTTATGTATTTGTTCAATTTTGTCGTAAAAACGAATTTATATCATAAAAGTCCCATCAATACAGCAAAAAATTATTAAATGGCAACTCTAAAAAGTACCTGTTATGGCGGCAACTCTCTTCCGAACATTGTTTAGTGGTATTAAAACACCTTGATTCTTATGTTCCGCTTCACAGAACTCTTTCACCTTTAATATCATTTCTCGAGCCGAACTTTTTACAACTTTTGGCATTGTAATCAATCTTTAAAATGCACTAAGCTAGTTAAAAATTCACAAAAATCTACCACAACAAACGAACTTGATAACATCGACAAATGACAACATTGCCGACCTGTCAAATTTAGTTCCAAAAATCACCTCGGGATTTCTTTCATGAAAAGCACATGATTCTTAAGTTGGCGGGGGGAAATTAATTTTTTGCACTTTTTTTTGGCTCTATCAACTGTTCGTTAACTGTTCTTCATTGTTCTATCAAAAAAAATTTTTGTTCGTTTTTATTTTTTTTTTTAATTATAAAAAAATTGACCCTCAATTTTTCACGAACTATAGATATTTTGATATTTTTTTTTCTAATAGTTTAGAACTATTCAATAACTGTTCGTTCAAAATAAACAACTGTTCGGCTTTCATTATCCTGTAATTTAATAATAATTAACTTTTTTTTATAAATCTTAATTAAATGTTATTGCGCATTGATTATCGCTCTCGTGAAAATTCATATTAATTAATAGTTTCTCGATTTTAACCATGACGTGGATATATGTATGGAGTATGGAGAGATAATAAACAAAATACTCCACTTTATACATAAGTATTATTTAAAAAAAATATTTTAGTTTAGTTTAGTTGTGTTGTCTCTTTGAATCGAATTCAAATAGGCCGCGCATAATTTATGAGAACTATGCGCATTGATACTGCGCATGCGCAATAACATTTAATTAAGATTTATAAAAAAAAGTTAATTATTTTAAATTACAGGATAATGAAAGCCGAACAGTTGTTTATTTTGAACGAACAGTTATTGAATAGTTCTAAACTATTAGAAAAAAAAAATATCAAAATATCTATAGTTCGTGCCAAATTGAGGGTCAATTTTTTTATAATTAAAATAAAAAAAAACGACCAAAAATTTTTTTGATAGAATAATGAAGAACAGTTAACGAACAGTTCATAGAGCCAAAAAAAAGTGCAAAAAATTAATTTCCCCCCGCCAACTTAAGAGAGCCGAAAAGCACTATACTTTGATATTGTCAATGTGTAGGTAACACTTAAATAAAATGAACATTTAACAGACTATATGTGCAATAAATTTTATTGTAATCAATATTTTCAACTTATTGCCATAAAGTACGTAATTTATAAGCTACTTTAATTATTAAAACTGTTTATTGTTATGCTTAATGAAATTGGCGCTTTGTATGGGAGGAACAAAAAGTCGAATATTTTTAAATATAATATATTTAATTAATCAAAGTATGAACCATTGTTTTCTATGCACTTTTGCCATCTCATAGGTAGTTCATTGATCCCTTTACTAAAAAAAACAGTCGGACGGGAATCAATAAAATCTGTGAAGGCAATTTGGACTGCCCCATCAGAGTTAAATTTTTTACCTTGCAAGAAGTTGTCCAAATTTCGAAAAAAATGGTAATCTGTTGGAGCAAGGTCCGGGGACTACGGAGAATGTCTTAGACATTCCAATTGAAGCTCTTCTAATTTGGTAGCCGTCTGTTGTGCAGTGTGTGGTCTAGCGTTGTCATGAATTAGCAGTGGCGTGGAGCGATTGACCAGCCTAGGTTGTTTAGCCGCTAGCTTTTCCATCATGGTTTGCAATTGCTAACAATAGACATCAGCCGTAATAGTCTGGCCAGATTTGAGAAAACAGCAATAAATAATACCGGCACTAGTCCACCAAACGCTTACAAGTAACTTTTTTGGGGTTAATTTTCGCTTGGGGCAGAATTTGGCTGGCTGGCCAGGATCCAACCATTGCGCTGAGCGCTTCCGATTATCGTAAAGAATCCATTTTTCATCACAGGTAATGATTCGGTTTAAAATACCTTCATTATTGTGCCAGTTCAGTAATGTAACGCAGCAGTCGACGCGCGTTTGCCGGTTTGCTTCAGTCAATTCGTGAGGTACCCATCTTTCAAGCTTTTTCCCAATCTTCCCAATTTGCTTCAAGTGAATTAAAACAGTTTTATCACTAATACCGCAGCCTGCAGCTAACTCGGACGTGGTTTGCGATGGATCCGCTTCCACAATAGCCTGCAATACTTCATTATCAACTTGGGTCTCAGTCCGTCCACGGGCTTGTTCTGCAGGTCGAAATTTCCAGAACGAAAATGTTGGAACCAAAAACGAACTGTGTTTTCTTTTGCAACATGACCGCCATACACATCATTCACCCTTCGAGTCGTTTCCGCAGCACTAGAGCCACGGCGGAACTCGTACTCGTAAATAATGCGATACTTTAAGTTTTCCATTTTGTAAAATGAGTGACGCAAACAGAAAAAAAAACAGAAGAAAAAAACAAATGAATGATGGTCATCGAAGCACAAATACATGAGTAAATAGCTGTACAAATTTGAATTTGGAATTCCTTACCAAAGAGGCGAACATCGTGATTAAAGTGGCCAGTACGAAATACGCCAATTTCATATGTAAGGACCTAATAATAGCAGAATTGTCTAGGTCCTAAGATTTTACGTTTTATGTTGCTTTTGTTTCTATGCTGATTTGAAATTGAATACATGCGTTTGAAACGCATGGCTTAGGACCTAGCACAAGACTGTGCAGTGTGCACAAACGGAGCTGATGTGCGAAATTTACGCTCCATCGTACGTAAAATAAAAACATCGTGAGAATACTGGCATGACTTAGACCCAATAGTCGGCGACCCAATTTTGTATAATGTTGAACACTTTGTATAATGTTCAACATTATACAAAATATTATTAGGGCCAAGGCTGATTCCTGAAAGTCGAAAATATAATAGATTTTGACATACGGGTGTCATAATTCGCACAAGTCTAATTTTTGATTAAATTAATAAAACCACACTTTTAGTTGTAACATTAGATTATAATTAGTCACACAAAATACATAATATAATTTTATATATTTTTTCTAGACGTATAAAATTGTTTCGTAGGCTAGGCTTTTGAGGTGTAATATATCGCACTTAAATTACTGTTGTTTTGTTTGTTAATTTTAACTTTATAAAATTGAGTTTTTTAAGAAGACAATTTTTAATATCGATTACAG